TGCCTCTTTGTATGTTTCACATAAGCATGAAATCAGCGAAGAATGTAAAGGTTAATGAGTTAATTCTAAAATTCCTTGAGGATAATAGTCTAGGTCTTTTTTACTTAGGGCTTAACAATCAGACGTTATTGTTTTCGTATGTGTTTACCTTCATTCATGGTCATCCTAGTTTAGAACATATAACGGTTTTCATGTAATAATCGCAACAGATTCCGATTGATTAACATGGTTTCTAGGATTATAACTTATAATCATTCAGTATTCAACTGTAACACGATTTTAAAAACTTTTAGTGACCCAAATAGGATTTAGACCTTTCTAAAAACAATAGCTCTACTTCAAGTCTCAAGACATTAGCATACGTACTAATACCCAAATATAACTATATTCTTATGCCTGAATGCATATGTAACTCCATCGATGGTAAGGTTTTATAGCAATCTACCACTAAAACGTAATCCAAAGCGAGTGCATCTTTCCACTTATGTCGTGCAAATTTACAGTCCTCATCGGTATTGACCTAGTTTACAAATGTTCATTATATTTTCCGACTCTCTATTTCTATCCAACTTTGTTATACTTTTCTGAATACAAAACTCGCATTCCACTACTTCTCAGGAGTCGAGTTTTGCACTTAAAAAACTCGAACATCCTTATCATCGTAAACAGAAATCTATTCAATGAGAATTTTGTCAAAATATTCTAAAAGCTTTCAGTTACACGTATTATATTGATGCTTAGATTAATATAGATTCAATCGATATTTCTACTTAATTTGCTTCTTTTTATTGGATGTGACATTTGCTGAAGAACTATCTCATAAGTCTATACACTTGGGGTTTTTTTATTTAAAGTCCTGGAGAAACCCAACCTTTATTATGCTTGGGTCAACATCCTGGACAACCTCATCTTTTATCTGTAGGTGGTGTTAATTCCTCTAGTGCAGCTGCTTATATATGGGATTTACGAGCTGAACAATATCCATTAACTGAAGTTGCCTGTGATGGTCAATATATTTGGGAAACTGCTTTTCATCCACGTCAACCAAAACATTTATATATGGCTACGGAAACAGCTGGTTTGTTACAAATTAGTAGTCGTGATGAATCAGGTAAGTTCAACAGTGTTTGGGGTTTTCTTCTTTTGATTTATTCAGTGAAATTTCGACTGACTTGATGTTTATAGTCCTAAACTCATAATTATAAATGAAAATTTATTCGCTTTCGAAATTTTTCCCAAAATGACGTGATAGTTTCAAATTTTGTTAGTGAATACTATTTAAAATCTATTTGCATATATGTATAACTGCTAATTAAACTTTTATTGTTCTCATAACTTGTCTATCCAGTTTGACCGTAGAGAGAAAATTCGTATGTTAGCCAGTTGGTCAACACAACCCACATTCAGTAAATAAACTAAGCGAGTGCTAACTCTAAGTGTACGGGATACGAGGTGAAGAAAATAAAGTTTATGTGAATCATGTAGATTGACAGAAAATATTTTACTTATTTTCAGGCATCCTTTAAATAGAAAGCTAAGGATAGCCAAATCAAAACGTGATACCGATTCATGAAGTCACTGACAACTGAGCTGAGTCGTGTAAATAGATGTAGATTACCTAGTTGGGATGCGTGTGATCATCGTAACTAATTATTCAAAAATTTGGGTGACATGGCTCAGAATCTTTCGCAATAGCATAAGTGCATTCACTCTCTATCTTCCGTGAGAACCTAATTCACAAAATCGCTTTTTTTCTGTATGTAACATTTTCTCTTACTACGGATACTGTTACTACTTTTACTACTCTGGAATTTGTCGTAATTCTATCCTGTTGTGCTAATGTGGTATGACAATTTGAACTAATGCAGATATCTGGCAGGTACTATGTTGCACATGACATGACACGTCAAGAATTAAATATCATAGCTATAATTTCCAAGCGACATAATGATTATGGTAATAAGATGTAGCAAATCATTTCATATCCCTACTCATATTCAGTAATACTCCTTCATTGTTACATGTTACGCAAACAAAATAGTAGTTCTAAGTACTTAGATATATTTGAGATCATATTGCAGACAAAATTATTGATTCATCCCGTTCCCGTTCCACAGTTTTATTCCATTGAATCTAAGTGAGTACTATCAGTAATCCCTTGGTACAGCCGAGGGTGAGGAGAATCATTTCTCGCTCTCCAAGTGGTTTCATATGACCACGTGCACACCGCCACTTCCAAGGAAGTCCTACTCACTGTTTGCGGTGTTATTTACGAAACTGAAAGGATGAAAAGCGAATGTCCGGGGCTTAAACCAGGTACGATGTAACCATCTAGAGGGGGTTGAAAAACCCTAATCCCAAACCAGTGGTGCACACGGGCTCTAGGATCCTGAGGAAATAAATGGACCAGATCTCCAAGTCAAAGGCTCAGGAAGTAGTCCCCTAAGGAAACTAGCTGTTTCGGTTTGGACAAGCAGGCAGTATCTCAACCATTACACATTTGTGTAGCCTATATGTACCCCTTTGTACCAATGTTTGTGCTTAGATAAACAAGCTATCAGTAAATATAGATCTCATTGTAAAACCTGACTATTTCACTAATCAAAGTTTGTGTAGATAGAATTACGTTTAACTTTTCTGATAACTTGGTGTTTTATCCATAATGTTACAAGATGGCATACAGATCAGCATGAAGTATCAAGCTTCTATGCGACGTCAATTTTGTTACCTCATATTATTTAGTTCATTTTACTATGATATGCTATCAATGTTATCAATTCGATTTTTTTAAAACTACTATGTATTTCAAGATTCATGGGTTGGATTCAAAGGTTCACGTCGTAAGTTAACTGTATCATCTGCTCTACCCGAAGATACATCGGCTAGAAATGTTATTTCTTTTGACATTTCCAATAATCTTCTAGTTTGTGGCCATTCAGATGCTGTTTTACAAACTGTTCCTTGTAGTGTGTATTTGTATTAAATGTGGAATATTATTATCATTAAAATGAGTATTTTATCGCCTGTGTTGTATTTTCTTCATTGTTATGTTTTCCATTATTGTTTATATGACAAGTGACGGACTCTGGTACATTTTAATAGTTCAAAGATTCTACATCGTAACTTTGTCGATGGGATTCAACTGTCACTCAAGGTTAGACAAGTATGACAGAGGTTAGTGATAGATTGGTATGAATGTATCAATCCTACAGGTCAGCTGCCATCTGAATAACAAAATGGTGACTGGGAATCGAACCTCACAAAGAGCATCACTTCCCTCTACGCTACAAATGCTACCTGTTAACAGACTCCAATTAGCGTAAAACAAAAAAAATCAAAACATAGTACGCGGTGCCGAGTCACTTAGACTAGTTCTCCATATTGCATATTGATCAACAGAATTTGATCAGTACCAGTGACTGGACGAACATGATACATTTAAGAAGTTCAGTGTAGATAAGAATAATAACATCCGCTTGCATGAAGTGAATATTAAATTTTCAACTGAAGTAACATATTTCAGGGATACAATAACAGACTCTGTGGGTACTTCTATAATTGTATATGCTTGCTACAAATATCATTCCAAGACTAGGTTTCGGTAGTTATATGTTATGCAATATTGGATCTTTCCAAGTCGTCACAAATGTTCTAACAATGTAAGATAAAAATTACCGAAAACAGAAACAAATCAAAAGGTATGCTTAAAGGTAACGAGTTAATTTACTTGCATGTTATATTATCATGTCGTCGCCAAGTACTAATTTCAGAACATTACGAGGAAGCCTCCGTGCTGTAGATTAATACTTAGTAAAGTCGTGCATTGATATCATGTTTTAGTGTAACGGTCATATCAGTTTTTTCTGCTTCACTTAGCTCATTAATTTAGGTTTAAAATTCCACTAGTTGGTCTTTATTTCTGAACTAAGATTTTGTGTTTAACACTATTTACCCAGCAATTCCACCACACACAAGCAGCACTTCGGGGATACTTACAACTCAATATTTTCTAGCCCTCTAAAAAGATGTAAATTAGAATAAAACAAACTGCAGCAAAATCCTAGTGTTATTAAGTATTTGTTATCCTACAAGAACCAGTTGCAGGTTACATTAAGAAAAGTCTAATAACTTGTGGATTTTATTTGGAATTTATCACAGGATATACAATAAAAAGCTTCCGTTAGTTTTAAATGGCGCATTTGCTAGACAGAAAATGATAATCAACAAATAAATGAATCATGGACGTGTAAGTGGTTTAATAACGAAGTAATTTTCAAAACATTACATCTAGTTCGACTAAATTTTGTTGAGATGGTTATCTAAGTTTAAGAAGTAGTTCATCGGGACTTTCGCCCTGATAATTATAAAGCTACTCGCAACTGATTAGACGTATTGTAATTATAGATAATAAGAAGCTATGTTACAGTGACATTTCCGCAATATTTAAACACACTATTTAGCAACTTGAAATCTTCATATTTTGCTATAATAAATGACTTTGCTATTCCATGTTTACAAATAGCTCGAAACGGCTGCCACTAGTAGTGTATTGGTCGCGTTCTAATAGGAATGAAGTAGCGACCGACCTAGCCACTACATCAATTGGTAAGATGCTCGCAGCTCAATTTCTTTGGGCCTAGTTCAGCACGAGATCACTACATCGTGTTCCAACGCTATGAGTATTTGAATTTACGATACGTTTTTTTTTAGCTAGAGCTTTTTAAAATAATTGATGCCGCATAGAACCTACATTTATTTCATTTAACTCATGTGAATTCTGGTACAGTGAGGGACCAAAATAAGTGAACTATACAAATGAAGCGGTAGTATTAAGAAAAAATAAAGGGAAGTGCAATCATTAAATAAATGATTATAAACAAGTGCTTGCCTATACGCGTGTATTGCAGCATTTGTATTTTGAAGTTCCATACATTCATGACCTTGGTGAAGAAATAAGCAAACAAATGATTTTAAGACTATACGAAAATAAAGTATCTTTGCTGATAACAAAATGGAAAGAAACATGGTTCAGTTTAGACGATCATACCCGTCGTCTACATGATGATATCGAGACATTTTAAACGTGTTATCACAAAAGTCCAAATCGAATTGTTAACACATACCACTAACACAATATACTAGGATGGATGTATGTATGCAGACCAACTGAACAGCAAGTAAGTGGGCTGATGTAGTCGAATAGATTACACTAATAAACGAAAAAAATTTAAGCTGTTTAATCCGATTATAAGTTTATTTTTATTCATTGCATGCATATAGATTCCGGTACAATGTAGGACCAATAAAACTGCACCACAAAAAAATACAGGAGGAAATCGTAGTACAATCATTAAATAAATAGATAAAAACAGTATGTAGTAAGAGATATAGTTCAGTCGATAATACACTCAAAAAAGAAACCATCCAGTTAAAGGTGTTCACCTAACTTACGAAAAAGTGATACGAAACTACAGCGGAATCGTCAGTGGCTCTTATTTTGAACTATATTTGGTAGCATCTTAAGCTACAGAGTCGTACCATCTCTAGGACCCCAAATGGGGATCCGTGATGACTCGTCAGATGCTAGTTCTATGTAGTTGTCTACAATACTGCGGTGCCATGTCATTAACTGGCCACAAGTATAACGATTGTTTCTAATTAGCTAAGCCTACTAATGCGTAGCATTGATAGTCAGTTTAAGTTTAATATTGGTTAATATCATGCATTGGTAAATATATGTCTGAAAATTTGGCGGGAACTACTTTAATGGTTAAACTCTGTGTGCACTGCGTGTCTAAGGATTTCTTTCGGCTCGTGTAGTTAGACGTTGGGAAAACAAATGTTTCATTCGAAGTTGTAGCAATAAAATGTTTTTCCATAACCGGGAATAATGACCAACTTAAACTCCAAACTATCATATGGATTGGAAGTGAAGGTCAATTGAGCTAAATGAAATATGACTGGCAAACTAGCGTTTACAACTTTCCGATAGAAATTCTTTTATGGGAAATCTTAGAGGAAGTTATTTTTTAAAACTTCAGATACGCTTTACTGACAAGTGCCGATAATTACGGTGTTTTACTTTTACGATTGGGTCGCTACATATTCACGTTTTAAGAGGCTACTACAGTCAAAAACTAAAACTTAGTTCATAGAAATTCAGCTTCGTTCATTAGAAAATAATAAAAAATGTAGATAAGAGCTGTACAGGTTACAATACATTGGTTTCTAGTTTCACATCTGCATCAGCCACGAGCACTCTCCATTTCATGGGGTTGTAGTGAAACTTTACTGAGAAATGCTAAATAGCCTTTGTTGCATCGATTCGCATAATGTCCTTTCTCTCCACATTTGAAACATGTTACTTCGTCAAGTGGTTTTTGTGGGCCTTGTCGAGGTCCAGTAGGAGCAGCCTGTGAGGTCCCCATAAGACCACCGAACTTGAGACGTTCCGAAACAAAACGAGATCCGGGATTAACACCTTGTTGAGGCAACGCTGCGCCACCAGTGCTAATATTCTGCATTCGCTGCTGCTCCTGTAGTCGAAGACGTTCCTCAGGTGATAGTTTGAGGCAAAATTGTATTTTGTGTCCACGTTCATCTAAAATGCAAAATACGGTACATTTTAAAGTCGAAAGACAGAAACTAATACACAGTATATGATATAGAGAAAACTTACTGCAGTAATGACATATCCAGCGGCTTTTCTGAGTATCTTGATCACTTCCTGGAAGGGGCCACCATATAGGGCTAAAAAGTTTAGAAATAGAGTTTTACTCACTGCGCATATTTACATTCACGTCCTTTAGGACAAAAACCATTTATGTAGTTTTTGCACGCTACTCGTCTAACATGTCGATTTCGGCACAAAGGACCTAGACATATCTCTAAAATTAAGAATCCTATTACCGTTTCTGCAAAACCCTCTATCATACCAAGGGCAATCCTGTACCTTAGAAGCGGGGTCAATATGAAGAAATGGACATTCTTTATTCATACACTCTCCTATAAACCACTAATAAGAAATAATCTGAAGCTCAACTTACCGAATTTCGAAAAAAAGTAACATTCTGGCATTTTAGTCATATCATATTCGTGTAGGAACTCGCAGTCATCACCTTTTTTGCACAATCCACGAAGCCAATGCTTGCATACGACTGTTCTGTCAGCTTTGATATGTCTCAAAGGACATAAATTATTAAGGGGACATTGATTAATAATAAAAAACCGACAAACGCCAGCACCGGACTCTAAAGAAACCGTATTAAATAAAATCTAAATAACTGTTCATATTTGAGAAAGGCAAACATCCCAATCCAATTTGATTTTCTAGTTGGCTCTCAATAATAAAGTCAATGTCTGATACATCTGCTATTAAATTGTCCATCTCAAGATTATCTACAAAAGACCAAATTCAAATAGGATTTTACTACTTGAATATTAGTGATACAGAAAGAAAATGAAGTCTACTGGTGACCAGTTTTATAGATATCTTATGTAAACTAGAGGTTTAAAGAAATATGAGTACCTATATACGAGTGCGCTAATATCATGTTTTGCGAAATGAGGAAATTATTTATTAATAAACATAAAGATTGTAGATCGTTTCCAAGCAACAATATTTGATCTACTTCATAGCTCTTTGTGCAATTCCTAATTTATAAATACTCTTGCAACAGCCGAGCAAAGCTATATCAAATGAATGATGATGATGGAGTATTAGTACATAATTTTTTTCGAATGCAAATTTTGCATTAGTTGATGTATTTGAGGACAAGTATAAACTGACATCACTGGGACGCATTATTCAGTTTACTAACTAATCTTTTGTCTCGTGCTTCTCTCCTTTACCCGGCTTATTACATTGCCATGTCAAGTATAGAATAGTTTCAATTTACCCTCAAAAATTCTAAATTGGGTGAAAAAGTTTAACGTAATACAGGATGTGTTTACAATTGACTTGCAAACGGAAAGTGATCATACAGAACTACGTTAATACTCTGACAAATAATTGTAGCCAAAAAGAATTTATGAGCTAACGATTCACACTACCTATACAACCTGTCTAGTGGATCAGTCATCTTCAATAGATAACCCAATACAATCAATAAACAACATTTTTTAATTTCTCTACGGATTTTAGAAGAATATTGAGCCTCGGTGGTAGTTAAGCTTTTGTCTTGAAACAGAACCAAACTGAATGTAATTCGTATGACAGATAAACTAGATAACACTCACTAAGAAAATGCCTGATAACGGTCACGATGAGAAAACACCGTGTTATTGTAAATTGGATTTATCCTACATGTAAAGCTGGTCTAACAGATTAGCTATTGACCTGTATTCTGAGCCATGTCTGATGACGTCTCAAGTCATTGAGTTGCACCATATCTTGGGCCCCAGCCAAGGAGTTGTAATGGACAAACAGATGCTGGTCCTGTGCAGCTTTTTCCACACCCCACTATTATGGAGATCAAGTTTCAAAACTATAGAGTAAAACAACTTGCACCGACGCATTGTAGACCCAACCTTTCACAACCAAACAAGCATCACGACAGCGACAAAGAGTCCGAGTTGAGGCAAACCTCTCTGGGTTTCACTTTACACAGACTGATCTCACTACTTACACCACCACCAGCAATATCGTCGTAAAGTACTCCAACTCTTTATGAAGTTGAAAAAGCTATAGGAAATCTGAAGCGTGGGAGAGCAGCAGGACCTTACAAGTTTGCCTCTGAGATTTTTAAGGATGGCAGTCCAGTATTAGCAGTGAGGTTGACTGAGGCCTTAAGTAGAATCTGGAAGCTGGACGTAATCCCATCTGACTGGTCTCAATCACTGATTGTGCCGGTCTATAAGAAAGGACAAAATTCCTCCTGTGACAATCACAGAGGAATCAGTTTGATTAATATAATGTCTAAAATATTAGCTTCAATAATACCTCGACGCCTAACTAAACCTCGTGAAGTGCAGACTAGAAGAAACCAGGCTGGTTTTTGACCTAAACGTGGCTGTATAGACCAAACATTTACAATACATCAGATCCTAGAACAAAGACACGCATTCAGACATCCCACAATAGTAGTATTCCTCGACCTTACGACGCATTTGACTCGGTCGATTGTGAGGTTCTACGGCAGTGTTTGTCACTGAAAGGAGTACCGAAGAAGTACATAACCTTATGGCGAACTATCATCAGAATTGATTACCTCAAGTGGTGTTCGTCAAGGCTGTCCACTCTTTTCATTATTGTTTAACTTTGTCGTTGAAGTGTTTTTAGAGATAACACATTCCTCATCTAAATTTCCAGAAGTTAAACTTTTACAGCGAGATTCACTTGTTGACTTAGAATATGCCGGTGACATAGTTCTGCTTGGTGAAGACGCTGAAAAAATGCAGTCTTCTGACCACCGTAAGCAACAACGCAAGCATGTTCGGGCTTCCAGACCAAAACATGGCACAAACCCATGAAGTCACTGACAAGTAGACTGAGCCATGTTAGTAGGTGTAGACTACCTGGTTGGGATCCGCGAGACGACAGCAACCAATGGTTAGAGACCTTGAATGACATGGCTCAAAATGGCGCAGGTCCATACACTCTTTGTGTTCTCCCAAATTCTAATCTTCTGAATTCTTCATGTTTTTTTCTTTCCGAATTTATTTCATTGCGTTGTACTTTTTGAATAACATCTTCAAACTCTAATCTTTCCCATTGCTGCTTATATTTTTACTACCTCTACCACTACGGTATTTGAATTGACAATTGTATCTCTGTGCTAATGTGGTATGGCAACTCGAACTGATGTATGTACGTACGAAGTTCTACGTTGTTGATGACTGACTGAATATCGTCTCTATACTCAAGATAGAAGTCTTTTTTCGAGTAGCAGACCCAGTCCACGAGTAATTCCATCAGAGCTGCCTTCAGAATGCAATCGATGATAAAGTTGAGGAGCAACACTTAAACTGAACAATTCTACTTAATCCCGTTTCTGAGACATAATAATCTCTTGAACCTTTCCATACAAGCAGCAGCCTCTGCAACAGTAGGGCTCAACATACACAAGATAAAAAACAAAATCTTGAAATACAACACAGAGAACACTAACCCAATAACACACGGAGAAACCCTGGAAGAGATGGAAACTTCTACATGTCTGAGAAGCATCAGTGATGAACAAGGGGGATCGAATGAAGTAAAGGCAAGGATTGGCAAAGCAAAGACAACATTCCTACAGCTGAACAACATATGGAACTCAAAACAACTATCAACCAGTATCAAAGTCAGAATATTCAATACGAACGTCAAGACAGTTCTACTGTGCGAAGTTGAAACTTGGAGAACTACTAAAACCATCATCAAAAAAGTATAAGTATTTATAAACAATTGTCCACGCAAGATACTGAATGTGCGTTAGCCATGTACCATCAGCAACAGCCTCCTGTGGGAGAGAACAAACCAGCTTCCAGATGAAAAGGTAAGTTCGGTAAGACTCTCGAAGTGGATAGGACATACATTGTGGAAATCATCCAACTGCATCATGAGGCAAGCGCCAACTCGGAATCACCGCCACTGGTACGACCGAGAGTGGGGAGAGTCCGCTCTTCCTCTAGTATACAGCCACTGCCAGGGAAGTCTTACTCACCGCCTTCTCGCGGACGGGGTGTTGTTTACGAAATTGAGAGGACGAAAAGCGAATGCCCAGCGCTTTAACCGGGTTGATGGACACCGAGGGTCCACCTAGGGGAGCTGGAAAACCCTGATTCCAAAACAATGGCGTGCATGGGCTCTAGGATCTGAAAGAACAAATGCCGTGTGAACCAACAGTCGGTCACCGGCTACCATGGGACTGCATCTCTCGACATCACTCCATTGCCTTGTGGATCAGACTTTTAGGTCGAAGGCTCTGAATGTGGCCGCTTAAGGAAACTACTTGTTTCGGTCTGGGCACTCGGGCAGTATCACAGCCCACACATAAATCACGTGACTTTGTGACACATGTGTACTCGGTGCTCCTTTGTACCAATATTCATGTGTTCAAATAAATAAAATAAATAACTCGGAATACTGAAGTGAGGAGGAAAAGAGGAAGAACAATTGACATATTGAGTCGGAAATCGGAGATAAACATCAAAAGAATGAACATAAACTCCAAAGGATTGCCTAGGACAGAGTCAGTCAGTCAGCTACAACGTAGGACCAGGCACATATGTGCATCGGTCCAGGTTGCCATACCGCATCAACACAACAAGATGAACACCGGATTTATAACAGTGGTTAGGTAAAAGGTGGTAATATATAAGAGAAAGATTGCATATAGAGATATAGTACAAGAAATAATTGGTTCGTAGAAAGAAAGATATGAAGCGATTTTAATCTCATAGTTGCCTAGGACAGAGTTCGATGGAGAATTCTGGTGGGCGGCGCATGCTCCTCTGCGAGAGGTAACAGGCGTAGGTAAGTCCCCAAACAGCCTAATCACTTCTCTGACCGGAAGTCCATCACCTTCCTTCAAAAGAGCCGAAGTTGTATAAGGTTTCCCCATGACTTCTCTGAGTGTAGTTATTTCTTATCCACTTGTTAGTTTTAGTCCTAAGATGTAGCCAAGGATCTCATTATCATAAAACATATTCCTGATGGTAATGATGTATTTGTAGGCACATAACTCGATAAACAGTTTCTTGTGTTGGTATTTAAAGTCTGGAAAACTATTTAGACTAAATACCCAAGCTCCCAATTTTGGGGAAAATTTGGCACATTTTGGGGAAATGGCACAAAAACACTGAAATTACCTTCTGATCTTGGTCAAGGTCATTTGACTTTGAGGATTTCCCCAAATTTTCCTCAAACATTGGTGAATGTCGTTTGACTTCGTGAGTTTCCCCAAAATACCCCGAAATTTCCCCAAAGTTGGGAGCTCGGGTAAACTGGAAGAACTACGTTTTGGGGACGGAAGTCAAAATAAATATTAAGTTCCGATAGGTAAGCATCATAAGGACAAATATGGAAAATCTAGCCAAAAAAACGAGTTTTTGAGTAGGGATACTATCACTGAATTACAAGTTCAAGATCGGATAAAGAACAACTTAGAAACTAATAACCCTACTAAGTAAATCAATGACGGCTTTCAATCCTGAAAAAAATTGTCTAGTTGTCATTCATGAAAAAAGCAAGATACAGCTCGAAATTAAAACTAGGAGCGTGGCAGAGAAGTGACAACATAAGTTCCAGGCGAATATTCAAATAGTATTGTAAGACAATTCTATGTTTGACACAGAACTCAAAACGTTAACTGTATCGTGAACCTCAAAACCAGGAGACTTTCTGAATATAGTTTTGCTACATAACATTTATAACCGATCCCATTCTACAGCTGATTTAAAAATAAAGAAGGGTGGGAGGTGAACGTTCTTCAGAATTAGGAGGAAGCTGACAGGTACGCGAGGCCTAGATTACGTTGACAACATTAGTGAAATGTCAGATCAATTTTTCTACTATATTAATATTCAGAATTCACTGATTATTTGTGCAAATTACACGAGTAAACTGTTATCTGGTCAGTTGAGGCGAAACCAACCTTCGGTCGTAGACCACTTCTTTCAACCTACGCGCTTATCAATTCAGTCTCCAGTAATAAGCATAGGAGGTCTATCGACCTATACTAATCCTTGCAGTTTGTAATACTGTAGAGGTCCAATGTCATTTTAAATATATGAACAGAAGGTGCTGATATCACGTGTTCCGGTAGAGAATTCCAGTAATTCACTACTCGGTGCGAGAAACAAAACTCCAGACGTAAACGACTTGACCTCCACTTTGAACTTTCTCCGAAAGTCATCTCAAGTGATCAGTTCTGAACGGCAGTAAAAAATGAGACATGTTAATATTAAGGTCATCGTTCAGTATACGATAAGTCAATACTAGATCACCCCTTACTCTATTGTAAGATAACGGAAATAAGTTAAGGTGTCTCAGTCTGTCTTCATAAAATAGGCCAGATAGACCTTTTGCCATCTTAGTACATCGTCGTTGAACTCTTTTTAGCATCTCTACTTCATACTTGAAACAAGGACTCGCTGCTTGAATCCCATATTCTAAATGTGGCCGCACATAAATTGGGTATAGTAATTTAATCATTTCATTATCTAAATACTGGAAGGACCTACGAATAGACCACAATACCCTATAGCCTTTCGCAGAAACAGCCATACAGTGACGAGTGGTTTTGAGATCACTGCTTAATATGACTCCTAAATCTTTATAGTTTCTTACTTTGGGTAGCACGAATCCACCTATTGTGTAGTGATACGATTCATCATAGTTATTTATTTGCATCACCACACTTATTAGGATTTACTTCTAGTGACCATCTGTCCAACCATACCACCAATGAGCCAAGATCATTCTGTAATACTATCCCACATACTGTGTATGGGTCTCCAAATATTTATGTCATCAGCGAAGAGTAGGAAGGATGATTTCGCTATGGTTGGTAATTCACTTACATACAGTAAAAAGAGTAGAGGACCGAGGATCGTACCTTGTGGAACTCCACTTTTTACAGGTACCCACGAGCGCGTTATCGTCAGTTTACTCAGGAAAGCCTCATTTATGGTAGTCAAAGCGCCTGTTGAAACCACTTCTAAGATGATTCGCCAAATCAACCTGTGGAATGGTAGTGCTTTAGCTGGTGTATTGTCAGGTTCTGATGATTTCTCACTCTTGATTTGTTTTGTGGCCATACAGCTTTCTTAGATTATTGGTGTAGTGGCATCTGTAGAAAGGTGTGCGTGTGTTGCTTCGATGTCCGGTGGACTCAGTAGAGCCGGCATTTTTAAGTGTTTCTTAAAGTATTCTACCCAACTGTTTTGCTGTTCTTAAGTCTCAGTGATTGGTTTGACTGCGTTGTCCTTGACTGGTCGTTCTGATTTTCTCTAGTTCCCTTCTGGTTTCTTCGGTTCGCCATATTGTCGTTTCATATTCCCTTCTATTATGGTATTTCCGCTGTCGCTACTACGTCTTCCACGTATTTCTACCTGCCAGCTCTATTGCTCCAATTCACTCTCTTATTTGCTTCAGTGTATTCATCTTGTGTCTTGACTTTCTATGTTCTTGTTTGGCTATTGGTATTTACTGTCTTCTTGTTCTTCCTTTCTTGAATCTTGTGTAGGGTTTTGATAGAGATCCATTTTTTATGATGATGCTCCTTAAGGTCCAGAACCTCCATACACGTTGAGGTTAGTGCTTCTTTGACTCCTTGTTCTCCACAGTAGATTCTTCTTCTTTAAGTGGATCATGTAAGGCTTGGAACCTGTTTTAGAGAGTTATCCTAAGTTCGATGACTTTGTTAGTATGTAAAACGAAGGATATACTGAACCTTCGTAATGTTGTTTCTTCAGTTGTTCATTGCCTCCCCAGATTTAATTCCATCTTGGTAACCACCAGTTGGTAGTGATCTGATTCTATGTCAGATCCTCTCCCGCTTTTCACGTCTCCCACTATTGATTTTTTACGGAGGGAAATGTGATCGACCTGGTTGTGTGTAGTGTGTTCCGGTAAGACCCATGTATGCGTTTGTAAGTGAATATTGTGCTGCCCTTAACCAATCCGTTGAGTGCACATAGATTCGCAAACCTCTCGCCATTCTCGTTCCTTTCTCCTAGTCTATGTCGCCCCATGATATCTTCATACCCTGTGCTGTCCATTCTGACTTTGATGTTTAGGTATCCTATCAGAATTTTCAGGTTCTTTTCTGTGCACTTCATTATGATCGACTTCGGACTCCCGTGAAATCGATATTTATCGTCTCCGTGGTCATCATTTATAGGTTCATATCACTGTGATCCGCTCATTGGTTGTTTTGAAAGTTGCGGTTATGATTTTAGGTCCATAAAATTCTCATCTTACATGTTTCGTTCATGCCTCTTTGGACGAGATTATTGCAAATCCCTGCATGAGTATGTAGCAATTTCTTCCGCACGGCCAGAGTGCGACAGCACCTTTCTTGAAGCTAGTGATTTCGCTCCACCCTGAGTGCAATTTTTTCATTAAGTGCGAGAGCCACCAAGTTGTACTTCTTGGTTTTCACAATTTTTCGGTTGGTCATCCCGGTCTCCTTTATTGTACGAATATTCCATGTACTAGTGTAATTTATTGCTGTGGTTGTCACAATAACCATCGGCCTTGTGACCTCCGAAGAATCTCTGCCTTCACTATGAGGCAAAAATGAATGTATTATATTTGAAATTCGTAATTAGCGTATGAACAAGTAAAAAGAATCATCGACTCGTACAAATACCACAACAACCCTCCTACATTCTCTGAGCTTGGGGCTAGCAGTAACCCTAAAAGAGTTACAGATGAAGTTCCGGAGACATACCGCTAACTACAAAAAAATGTGGTTTACGGCATACCAATTCTGGTTTGAAAGATTTATAATGTTGCCTAATAATTGGATATAATCTGTTGTTGTGGCGTTAACCCCAGTTAGATGTTAGAGGCTCCAAGTTGATTTTACTGGACATCCATGTATACGATAAAAAGATTAAATAGTCACTGTTTTCATCTTGATTGCACAAATACCAATACATACAAAAAAGATCTTACAAATTGTGGTTCCTGAAGTCTTAAAGTAACATTCAGTGCCATTACTTGAACTTCGTGAGATTTGAAAACACTTCTATTTGAAAACTATTAGTACCCGGATTTAAATGCAATCTAGGAAAGTCCTCAAAGAGTACCTGTAGTCCACTTAACTCGGTTTATGTAAAGCCTTACACAGCCCTAAAACTTGCGCAAATGTACTATACTGAAGGTAAATGTGATAAATAAGCCAGCGTAAAAATCGAAAGTAAACATAAACTGGCCAGTTCCGAAATAATCCTGACATTTTTACGGTCAGCGACATGAGAGGTCACTAGTGGTCATTAGCTGAGCTCCCCGCAAATGGAATCAATTTACCAGAAACTAATTATTATAAGAGGATTCGAATGATCAATCAAGCCCAGAATTTCACCTACAAAACGATGACACAATGAATGATGCTACCAATTGATCCTGAGCTGAAATAATGACTGGTTTCTTATTGAATGTGAGGACGACAAATGAACTCAAGGAAGCCCTAGGAAGACATTTTATATAACCGTCTTTCGAAGGAATGTTCCAGAATCTCGACGTGTAGCTTCCCTATTACAAAGAAGTTATGAACCATTGTCTGCGTATTGGATGACTAGTAATGATTTCGCTTCCACTAAAAACTATGAATACCTGAGAGTTTCGTACCATATTTGACACTGTTTGTATTAACATTCCTTTTTACACGTCTTTTGTCTCCGCACTAGCGACTTGGGGGGTAATAAAGTCCGGGCGCTCAAACAGTACGTTGTTTATCAAAAAACCCAAGCTCTGGGTGTAACAGTGAAGAAAGTCAAAGAGAGTCGACATACAACACACTAGTTTGACGTCAACAAAATGGGAGAGAATGAACATAGAGATTTTTCTGTCATATGAAGTTCAGACGATGGGGTTTAGTCTACAAATACCGGCACCTGCTTAGTCAGAAGTATACAAAATTTAGTAAACCGAACATCATAAAAAGTGAAAAAGTTATTTGTTTCAGGCCGCAACTATTTCATGACAGTGAGGTATATAAGAAGCAACAAATGAATTTGGCATTTGAGCCTTCAATGGTCGGTGAATGATCTACTTTATCTGGGTCGAATAATCATTTGCAGTTCAAAATATTATCACTTGTAATATCTTACTAAGTATTTTGAATATAAAAATGTGAATTCTATATACAAACAAACAGTTTGCTGACTAAATGTCCCATTTCCTAACAAATGTTTTATGGAGTCTTGTGAAAATAACCCAGATTTCTTGAATTAGTAGCCTACCTGCGTGGATACAGGGACGAACAAAAAGTCTTACTTATTTTTGTTCTGTGTGAGACCAATTCTTGATGATTAATAAAATTGCCCTAGTGTGTTTATGAACGTTCGTACTCAAAAGTATCGATTTACACAGGTAGAGTGGAAAGTACTAATGAAGCGATAATACCTCTGTAAATTTCTATTAATCACACAACTCCATTGAATAAGGATGAACGATTGTCATAAAATATATTAGGCAGTTATAAGTGTCCACTGAAGAATAGTCCGCTTTGTTTAAACATTTGACCGACAATGTCAAAGAAGCATCACAGAATAATTTGAGGGGGGTATGGGTAAGCTACAGGCACATATAATTAACTCAACCAAATAGTTCAATTACTGTTTGACATCCAATGATATCCTCTTTAGTTGCAATCAACTTTACTGCTTGGAAGCTTATGGTCGCATCTCTATGAGGTTTCTTGGCACTCCATATCTCAGATGAGTTTGTTTGACAGTTTCGTCTATAAATATACGGAGTCAACCGCAATATTTTACTATACCTTAGGCTACATATATAAACTCAGCCTAGAGACCCTCTGGGGTTGCTTCCGGTTCCATACTCGGATAAAGGAGGGGGTTGGGTGTGAGGTCGACAACCTCATCCCGTAGAAAATAGCCTTGCTTAAAAGACGCTTATCGAAAAGAATAATTCAAACCATTTAAACTGTGCCACGATAGTTAGAAGTTCTTTATTTAGAAGAGTTATGAAGTTTCGTGATGAAAGCAGAGTTCTTTCGTAAGTCACAAGGATGGTGTCTCGTCTGACAACCAGAGCAATCATCAATTTAGGTACATGGAATGTTCGTACAATGTAGGAGATATCTAAGCTGCTGCAGAAACGAAAAGATATAAACTGGAGGTGCTTGGAATCAGTGAAACACATTGAATGTAGATTGGACGACAAAGACTAGCTGCAGGAG